TATTTTTTTTGGGGGGGGGGGGGGGAGTCGCACCTCTGAGAGAGGTCGCAGCTCGAGCTCTCCGAATGTGTTCTCCCCGCCGTACATCATGTACATGAATCCGTCCGGGTCGCGATGGTTCTCGTAGACGGTCGACATGAGCGCGGCGGTGGGCGGCAGCGTGTTGTTGACAAAGATGAAGATGGCCTTCTCGGGAGGGATCGAGATGCGCTTGCGGATCACGTACACGAACTGGCCGACCGTCAGGTCCATCGGGATCAGGTACTTTCGCTTGTCCACCTGTGGCGCAGCGCGCAACCAGCGCTCGGGCAGGGGGCAGCGGGGGCGCCGGCCGCGAGCGAATGGCAGCACCGGCGGGATGTCTGAGCGCGGCTCCTTCTCGCAGATGACGGGGATGCGGTCCGGGTACTTTTCGCGGATCCGCGCCGCCTCCGCCTGCCGCTTCTCAAACGGGTGGTCCTGCAGCGGGCGGGCGGGTCTTGGCGGGAGGGCAGGCGCCGCAAATGCGGGGGGCGGGGGAGACGGAAGGGGCGGGCGAGTAGAGCGCGAGCGGCGCGGTACGAGGGGTAGGCTCGTGCGCGGGGAGCAGTCCGGCCCGCTAATTTGCACCACTCAACTCCCGCCAAACCGGCGCGCGAAACCAGGGCGGGCAGGGGGGGGCTTGCGGGCCGGGCAGGCGGGGCGGGCTGCGGGGATGGGCTGCGGTCTCTGGGGGCGTGGGGCGCCTTCTTGTAGGCGAAATCTGCGCAGCGCGGCATTGCTGATGGCTGTTGACCTGCTGGACGGGAAGGGGTTCCGCCAAGTCGCGGCCGCGACTGCGCCTGTTTTTCTTTTTTCCTTACCCTCTCCAAGGCTTCAGAACGCGCACCCCCCCTAGCTAGGGGTCAGGGCTCTCTAGCCCGTAGCCCGATCCCGATCATCCGGCCCGCTGGGTGCGCTTCTTAGCTCCCCGGCCCTGGATGTGAGGTTTTACTGACTGCACTCCACGCCACCGCTGGCGGCCGCCTCCCGCCCACCCGCACCGCCGCCCTCGCCACTGCCACCCGCGCCGCCGCCTCGCCAACGCGGCCGCCGACCCACCCTCGCGCCCGGCGCCGCTGCCGCCGCTGCCGCCCTCCGGGCCGCCTCCTGCCCCGCCACCTGCCTCGCCACCGCCCACGCGACTGGCCTCGCCGCCGCCAACGACACCGCCCTCCCCACCGCCCTCCCCACCGCCCTCCCCTCCGCTCTCACCGCCGCCGACGCGCCGCCACGCCGCCTCTGCCTGCCGGCCTCCTGCGCTCTCGCCCCACCTCCCACACACCACACCGACCTCCCCGCGCCCCCACACGCCGGCCCCGCTCGCCCACGCCACCACCATCGCCCACGTCGCCCTCCCCGACCCCCACCCCGCGCCCCAGGCTCTTCACAGCTCCGCTCGGGGCGTCCTAGCTCGCCAAACACCGCCGCCAGCGCCTACAGCCACCCGGGTCGACCTCTCGTGATCTCGGATGATCCCATCTCGGCTGCACGGTGGCGGCTCTCGTCGGCTGCCCATCTCGGCCATCTCGGCTGAACCTCGGCTCCGTGAGCTCAGCCCCTCTCAGCCGCCGCTTGCGGCAGGAGGGCGCCCCCCGACGCGAACGAGGGCAGGACGGCCCCGGCTCTCCCGGGTCGAGGGGGCAGGGGAACCCCCCCCCCCCCCCCCCTCCCTTACCACCTCGCAGCGTTGCCCCACCAGCCCGGTGCCCCGCTGCCGCCCCAACCGCCGCGCCGCCCGCCGCCGAAGGCCCGGCCGCCACCGCC